GCTTTCGCACCCCTTGTAGTCGTCGACACGTTGCTGCAGAGGAGGCATGTTGCGCGGGAAAGGTAGTAAACGAGCGCCACGTCCTCACCATTCTTTATATTTCGATGCTTGAGTGGGTATGCCAGCGTCAAAAATGGTCAATATTTGGCCTCTTTCCGGCTCAAGCGTTACACAGTCCACCTTTGCAGCTGGAAGTAGCTCAATTGAAGCGGAAAATTGCTGCCATGGCAGATGAAATGGGACCAAGGTGATGAAGTGTACCGAATATAAATCAGTGAGATAGGTAATAGAAACGCAGTATCGATATGGGTCAAGTAAAGAAGCTCGACTGTGATGCAATGTGTGGAACGTATCCTGTCCCTCTTTCCTGCGTTTCCACACACAGAACAGGAAAAACTATGAAATTGTGCTTTTCGTTCGAGTCTTTTAACCACACCCACTCGCACCAACACCACCACCCTAATATCTGAGTATCTATCATTGCTTCCCATGAAGTAGCTAGAATAACCTCCTCACCCCCCTCTCCTATTCTCGAACGCCGCAAGCCCTCCGCCTACCAAATCTGTACAAAGCAAATATCATGAAATGTGCACGAGCCAAGCTACTTCTTTCTGCCTCACCCTAAGATGTATATCTGCACAATTTAAATAGGCTATCGCCGGCCCTTTACGATTGCTTCGAGCACTGCCTTGTAGTGGACTGCACAGGGCAACGCATCTCCTACGAAACATCGCACCCTCATACATTCGTAGCTCCTTCCTCTCCTGTCCCCCAGAGAAGTCAAAGTTTACGTATTACCTTCTTAAATGCTCACGATGCGCCGGCTATTGAACACTCAACCTCGCAAGACACTCTTGCACAAGCTATTTTTTAGGGTTGCGATCTTCGGGGCCATCATTTCATTTAGGCCCGCAAGCGCTTTCTTGTCCCCATTGGTCCCGAGATGTAGTTTTACATTCCGCCATGAAGTCTCATCCACTATAGTGTGCATGATGGCACCTCACCGAGTACATGGTGTCGACAGTATGTGGAATTCGCTCCATCACGGAAGCAACACGACTTTCGTTTCCGAAATCGAGGACGACGTGTTTGCGGGATCAAACTCCTGGGCCAAGAAGGTTTACAGAGCACTCAACGCCGCCACAAAGCGCAAGGAACCCGGCACATTGATCATGATCCGCCACGGAGAGTCCATGCTGAATTACAACAAGACATTCACGGGTTGGATCGACGCGGACCTGAACGAACGGGGCATTCGGGAGACGGAGCACTCGGCACGCTTGCTGATGGAGCGTGGCTACGAAATCGACGTCACCTACACCTCACGCCTAAAGCGCGCCATTCGATCGAGTTGGATCCTCATGACGGAGCTGGGGCAGATCTATCGGCCCGTGTACAAATCCTGGCGCCTGAACGAGAGGATGTACGGAGCCCTCGAAGGCATGAGCAAGCCCGGGCTGGCCGAGGAGCTGGGGGAGGAAGTGGTCCAGGCATTCCGCACGGGACTGACCACGACGCCTCCTCCCATGACGCCCGACCACCCCCACTGGCACATGCACGAGAAGAAGTACGCGGACGTGAAGCCGGAGGAGATCCCCGTCACCGAGTCCCTGCAGGACACCATGGAGCGGACCTTGCCCCTGTGGGAATCGCGCATCCTCCCAGACCTGCGATCGGGCCGCACCGTCATGATCGTGGCGCACGCGAACTCGCTCCGGGGCATCGTCAAGCACATCGACAACCTGAACCAGACGGAGATCCAGTCGGTGGCCATTCCCAACGGAATCCCCCTCGTCTACAAGTTCGACAAGAACATGGTGCCTATCGAGCAAGAGGGAGCGGTCTCGCCCCTGACGGGAGAGTTCCTCGAGAAGAAAGGACTCCTGCGCGCTGCCCTTGCGAAAGAGGCAGAGCTGGCCGCCTCCGTGCCTGGGTACTCCACCGACGGGGGTGGATTCCGAGGCAATGCCAACTTGCCCGTGATGGACGCACGCTTGCGGGGCCTGGCCAAGCTCTCAGAAGCCCGGCAACTTATCGCAGCCACCAGTTTGGGAGTCCCGCCCCCGCTTGCTCCCCTTCCCCAGGCTGTGCCAGCGACTCGCGTGGCTTACCCTCGCCTGGTGGTCCCCAAAGCCGCGTCTTCGCCGCCGAGTGCCGGGGCACCGGATGCGAAGAACGCGCAAGAGCATGACCAAATCATCGTCATCATGCGCCACGGGAAGACCGAGTACAACAAGCTCGGCGTGTTCACGGGCTGGGAAGACGCCCCCTTGGCCAACGAGGGTCGGATCGAGGCGCGCAACGCGGGGAAGCTCCTGAAGCGGCACGGCATCGAGCTCGACGTCGTCTACACCTCCTGGCTCTCCCGGGCTATTGAGACGGCCTGGTTGATTGTGGACGAGCTGGACTGCCTCTGGGTGCCGATTGTCAAGTCCTGGCGGCTGAACGAGGTGGGACGGGAGGGTTGCCAGGGAGGGTCGATGAGGGGGTGGGGTTCTTCCATGTGCGACGTGTCAGATTGAAGCGTTTGCAGGCATGGCCGGAATTTGTTATTCTCGTCTGCGCGGCTGCTCTGACCCTCCTTCTTTCCTCCCTCTGGCTGCCAGCGACATTACGGCGCCCTGACAGGCCTCTCCAAGAAAATGATTGCCCAGCGCCACGGAGAGGCCAAATTTAAACGCTGGCGACGCTCCTATGCCACAAGGCCACCCGAGGTATCTTCCTTCTCGTCCCACTACCCCGGCAACGACGACCGATACGTGAAATACGCGGAAGACATGCGGGTCTCGGTCCGGGAGACGCTGATTCGGTCCCTCTCCGACATGCGCGTGAAGATCCACCGGAAGTTTCCCAAGGCGGAGAGCTTGAAAGACTGCATGAGCAGGACGATTCCTTTTTACACCGACCACATCGTACCGCAATCCGTCGCGAAGGGCAAAACGGTCCTGATAGCTTCCTCGGAGAACGCGATCCGAGGCTTGTTCATGCACCTGTGTGACATCCCCGCCGACCGCATCGCCGAGGTCGAGATTCCCACGGGCCTGCCGCTCGTCTACAACATTCGCAAGAGGTGCATCCAACTCCTAGAGACGGGCTTTGAGAACCCACAAGATCCATTGGGGCACTTAAATTTCGGCTCCTCGCCTGAGCTATTGTTCCAGCCTTGCGATGCCGAGCGGGACACGGAGTGCTTTTTGGGCGCCGACGGGAAATCCTATAGGTACGATCCCCTGATCCGACTGGGGGAGGCAGAGAGGAGGAATTTGGAGGAGGACATGATGGCGGAAGCGGAGGAAAAGGCCTCGTCTAAGCCCTCCAGCGGCCCTCCCTCTCCTCCATCCACTTCGTCTGCTCCCGCCGCTGCTGCGTCCGCCAAGGCGGCTGCTGCTGCCCCTCGGCCAACGGCGCCTGCTTCTGTGTAGAGGCTATGTTTGTGTGAAGATGTAATGTATACACGTTGACAGTATAGTGCGATAAATGACAAAGAATCTCGTCATTTTTAGCAAGACTACCCTTCTCAGCGTGCGCGGAAAAGGTTGCTTTCGCTTTAATTGCTTGTAATCTTAAGACTTTTCGTGTACGCTGCACACTAGAAATGGAAAAAAGGAAAGAGAAGATATTCAAGACAAACAGAGATACTCCCGGCCAGTGTCGTGCATCGCATCGTGTGTGTATCTACAACCGATGTCTGCCACAGACAGAAGTGGGCGATGCTCATAAGCTAATCGAACGTCGTACGCCAAACGTCTATGGAGGAGTCAACCAGCCCTGCTTTGTCCTTGCAAAAATTACTAAAAAATCGCGAACTAATATCACATTGCGGATCAGGTCCGCCGGCCGGAGGATCGTGTGCCCTGCACTACGTACGGGATAAAAAAAAATTGTACACGTGTATCTGTCCCACCACTTTGATGGTCTCAACTTCTCTGCGCTGCACACTCATTTGAAATTAGAAGAGAAAAACGACTGTTGGGCTCTACATTAGCTTGTACATGGTTGAAGCGCAGCGATGCCGGAGAGGATGGATCACTCGATAATTTGCCTGGACATCGCTTGCTTCAAACCTGAAACTTCCTATTTTGCGACGCCTTTCGAGAATTCTTTGCCCTCCACCTCTTTCTGGCCGTCCTTATTGCGTATCACATTTCCTGTCTGCTCACGCTCCTCCGGCACTGCTACCAGCAAGCCCGGAGCCCACTCACTGTGAATGCCCCAAGGCAGAGAATGCTGCAAATGGAGCTTGCATAGCGGCCCTGCAGCAATGTCCGCCGCGTTGAAGATACACAGAGAGCGTCGGCCCGTCAGAGCATTGAACTCGACCCCCATCCAATAGGAGTCGAGCTCTTCCTGCTCATCCCCCTTCCCTGGCTCGCATGCTGCCCGCGGCGCCAGTACTCCCTCACCCACCACAATGTGCTTCGTCCTGTCCTCAACGCTCAACTCACCACCAGTGTCGTCCCTATTCATGTCCACCGCGCTCAAAGAAAGAGGGGGCGACGCGAACATCGAGGGCAGGGAGGAAGAAGGTGCTTGTCGCGCTGCTGCCAATGCCGCTGCAGAGGAAGGCGCGTGCCAGCTTTCCACCAAGCCCGTGCCCAGATCCAGGTGGACGTATCCTTGCGGCGGCGACGAGACTCCGCGGTCATTGCACGCCATAGCCCACACGTGTCGCGGAGCCCCTTCCGCCTCGAACCGGGGGTGCACTTTGGGGAAGTCAAGGAAAGTCTTGGCTAAGGATGGCACCGCCACGAATGAGGCTCTCTTTCGCTCCAAGTCCACGTCCAGGCGGTAGTAGCGGATGATAGGTAGACGGGAGAAGTCAGGGGCGCCGCGGTAGGTGTGCCCGAACATGTGGCCGTCGTCGTTGGCAGGCGAGAACAAAGACTTGTCCCAGCCAGCTGCGAAACCCACCACTTTGTTTCCTTCTTCCCCATCCCCTTCCACATCGAAGGCGTGACTCCAGTGAGTCATAAAGTAGGGCTCCATTTCGATAGCCACAGGCGGCTTTCCAGCGTGCCTCCCCCCCGGACGAGGCACCAAATGGACCACGGCCCGTGCCTCTTCTCCCTTGACGGGGACCATGCACTCGCCGGGCCCTTTCAAACCCAAGACGCAGGGCAGCAAGTTCAAGCGAAAAGCGGACTGCATCCACACGTAGTAATTAGGTGTGACCACCCAGTCGTGTGGTGGAGATGGACAATCGGAAACGCGTATGGTCACGGGGGGAAAGGGCAGGTCAAAGGCCTCATCCCACTCATAGAATGTCACTTCCAGACCGGCACCACGGCTTTCCGTCCTGCTTTTTTTCCCTTTGGCGCTCCGCCACAGACGAGGATCAGGTACACCAAAATGCTTTGGGAGTAAGGTCTTCCAGCTCCACCCTAGTAGGCGCTTCGTGGCCTTGTCGATACGAGGATGGGCCGTAAAAGCATGTCCACTTTTCTTCTGCAGTATGGCGTCCAGCACGGGATCTGCGGATGTGATGGCCTCTCCTGGCCTCATTAGTCCACCAAAGTCAAATTCACCCTTTGTCTCCAATGTCTGGGTGTCCAATTCGTGAGGCAGGGCAGTCTCGAAAGTGGACAAGAGCCTACCACCCCAGTAGAGAGGCTTGGTGTTACTCGGATTCTTGAACTTCATGTCGAATGCATTTATCGGGGGAAGTCGAATTTTTAAAAAACTGTCTTTGAATGCGCTCCAGCCATGTCGACCTGTCTTCATTGTCCCGAATTGTCCTCGATAAAGGAAACGGTCTTCAACTTTTTCTTCCAAGTAGGCTTTCGTCTCAATGAACCGTGCCTTCACATGCACCTTCCCCTTGTTGAAGGAGATAGCCGTCATGGCTCCGTCACCCTCCAACCAGCATTTTATTGGGACACCGCCACGCTCATATTTGCTGGGCCCGACAGTCAAGAAAGTTCCATGTAGATCTTCGGGAATAACCCCCTCCCAGTCTTCTATCCAATAGTCCACGGCCTCATCCTCGTCCAAAGATGCAAAAAGCGATGCCCACGTGTCCAAATCAAAGTTGCCTGGCAGCTTTGAAGTCGGCGACAGGTCGCTATTAAAAATGCTTTCGTGAGGAGGAAGAGGTGCGCAGCTTGGTTTGGTGGGAGCGAAAGGGGAGGTCGGGATGGAGGTTGTGGAGCGCGGCGGCTGTGGCTGCGACCCAGGAAACGATCGGACGACGTAGGGACAAAGAAAAGCAAGTAAAATGATGCATGCATCGGTTTTGACCGTTGCCATGCTCCTGTGGCGGTGTGTAGGAGTGAGACATGGGGTGAGGGGCGGTCTTTGCCGGCGAAAAACCAGGTCACGAGACGTATGTGCCGGGGCTGTCCTAACCCTCCCTCCCCATCACCCTGCGTCCTCCCCGTGTAAACCCTGTGCATGCCTGACACTACGCGCTTCTCGCCGCTTACGACCACCTAAACGCTATGCACCGAGTGTTTGAATGGGCCTGCGCACTGACGTGTCCCAGAGGGCAAGGAAATGGCATGGACGTTGTCAGGCACGTGGAAAGGCCGCCAGGGGGGCTTCTTTTTCCGCCCCCCGCCCCCTCGTCCCCCGGGACCTCGCTAGCCCAACGGAATGCAACCGAGCCCTTTCCACCCACCCTCATTCGTTCCTTGCCCCGTTCCATGCTTTGACACAGCTGCACGACTATTTTCTATCGACATCGCCAAGAAAGATCCTATTCCTTCGCACCGCGTGGTTGACGCCAGCACTTTGCCACCCAAACCTGTGAATCAATATCAAAATTGCTCTCCCCCCCCCAAAGTACGATGAGTAACATGAACGATGAAGAGCTACAAAAACTCTTCATGTGGGTAGATACGATTCCTCTGAGTCGGTCTAAAAAAAATATCAACCGGGATTTTAGTGACGCGGTGCTGGCCGCGGAGGTGATCGGCCACTACTTTCCCCGCCTCGTTGACATGCACAACTATCCTGCAACTTCTAACTCTGGACAAAAGCTGGCCAATTGGCGAGCCCTGAACGTAAAGGTTTTAAAAAAACTAAAGTATCAGCAGGCGCCTCCTATGTTGGAAGACTTGGCACACGCAAAGACTGGAGCTGTCGAGGTCTTCTTGCACGCGCTGCAATACAAGCTCGCAAAGTACAAGGCCGACAAGAGCGGACCCACCGCGTCTCACACGACAGAGGGTGAAGCTCAATCGGTGTCAATCGAGCAGCTCTCCATTCATGGAGGGCGCTCACCCACAGCTCCTGCTCTGACAGGGGCTGGTCAAGCGTGCAAAAGCTTCGCTGCAATACCTGTCTCCTCATCGTCTTCTCCAAGCCCCGCGACCTCTCCTGCCCGCCAGCACGTCCTTTCAGAGCCATCGCATTCCACCTCTGTTTTCTCGCTGTCCCTTCCCGGTGAGGCAGGAGCAGCAAATAGCTTGATAAGTCGGGGCGAGAACAGCGGCAAAAGGCATCCACGGGCGGAGGAGCAGCCGTCAGTGGACGAAGAGATCATGATGGAGAAGGAGGAGACCCTGGAGGAGCTTCGGCAGGTAAGCCTCTTCTGTTTCACTCCGGAGTACATGTTCGCAGTCACTCCGGTTTTCAATGTCTGGGTATACGGAGCATCTTCGGATGCTCCCTCGTGATCCTCAGCTGACGCAATATTAACAAATTCCTTTCAATTTTTCCCACTTTCTTCATCCCTACAGACCGTGGACATGCTCCAACTAAAAGTGACAAAACTCGAGCAACTCCTACGTGTGAAGGAGATGAAGATCGACACGTTGGGCCGCGAAGTCGCTCGTCTCAGTCTCACCGGAAAACCAGATCCAGATGGTGCCACTGGCGGAGGGTTCATTGGAGATGGTTCATTCAGCCCCGCCAGGAGCACTTACAGCGTCGATGATGCTGGAGAGAGAAGCGGAAAGGCGGCCGAGAAGCCCCTCACGCTTCCCTCGTATGCACGCGTGGGTGTTTAGAGCGGAAGACGACGCCTTGGAAATGGTGAATGACGGAGCAGTAGGAGCAATAGCTGAGTTTGTACATGTAAACTTCACAAAACTCAAGAGGAAGCATGCGCGAGGATAATCTGCTTCATGTATGGTTAAGGCGCAAAAGTAACTAAGAGCAAGCGTTTGATCTCCGCGCTAACAAGGCTACGCCATTCAGTGAGAACTATCGCTTTGAGGTTTCGCGTTGATTTCCTTCCAGTTTCTTCATCTAGTCGCGATCCACGGCTCCCCAGCACTGTCAGCATCCTTCAACATCGGAGGCTTCCCGGGAAAGAGAAAACGAAGAGGACCAAGCCCATTCCATGGCCTCCAGAGCGTCCTACATCTGACAACGCCTCTACCTTCGGACCAGCTCCCGCACACCACCCCGTCCCTCGACCGCTCCCGGGAGCGGCTTAGATGGTAGATGGATACAGCATCACGCGGACCGGTCCCCCGATCGCCTTAGGAGGCAGATTCCGTCGAAACTTGGCGCGTACGACTCCGTTGGTACCATGCGCCCGGGTCACCTTTCCCCAGATGGCACGGTACTTGGTGTTGTTCTTGAGGGTCTTGGCCTTGTAAATGTAGGCGATGCGCTTACCCAGGTAAAAATCCACGCTCTTCTTCTCATCCAGCCCGTCGATCTTGATCAAGGACGTGTGATTCGTCTGTTGCCGCAGGCCGCGCTTGTAACCCAGCACGACTCCTTTGACGTACAGCCTTACTGGCTGTTTAACAGGAAGACCAAGAAGGGGATTGGGAAAGAAAAGAAGTTGAATACATGCGACCATCATAGGCAGTTCAAGCGACACATCCCCTATAAGCTCTGACTCTCTCCGCATCTGCACGAGGCTTGCTCGCAAGTTAGCCAGACCTGGTTCGTTTGCAAGCGTCACGTTCGAAAGTTATCACTCCCCTAGTCTCTCCGCTCATGGAAGACAGTGAGACATACTAGACCACGCACTATGCGTTCCTACAGACAGGGACACATACGCTATGGAAAGAAGGTTTGGTTCACCAGACCATGCCAGCAACCTGACTCCAAGCTCACTTTCCTGCTTGTCCGTTCTGACAACCAAAACACCGCGACGCCTCGAAAGAGCCACATCGCGGCAAACATTACTAGCAACATCCAAGCTACAAATAATAAACTCATTCATTCATGGCATCCAAATCAAACAAGGCGTGGATAGCTCCTAATGGAAAACAAGCACGATGCTCTGTTGCCCTCTAGATTTACCTCAGATGACATGTTCTTCACCATCTTCGTGTAACAACTGAGGCTCCTCGACTGGTGCTGAAAAGTATCTGTCACAGAATAATATCAGTACAATTCAAATGTGCATGAGTGTTCGTGGACGACAGGAGGCCCCAGATTGATGCGTTGTGAGGCACATAGTGGAAACCGAAGCAAAGAAAAGGCAGCGTTTATGTGAGTGGGTGGAAGCGTCGCGGCCATGAAGCTATCACCACATTGAATCAACGACGAGCTGAAGGGGCGATGAGCGCACGCAAAGAGTGCTCGACCCTCGTTACGGACAAGGAAGCATAGAAGAGGGCGTAGTCATGTTGCCACAAGGAGAGGGGAGGGGCGAGAGGAATGCTTGGTGTGTGGTGGTCGAGCGCAGGGTAGGGTTGAGACAGGTTGCGTGGAGAAGAGGAAGGGGGTGCCTGGGAGACGCCTTTCGGAAATTATGGCGCGAATGACGGGAGGTTGTTCCCCGTCTCGATCATGGACACGAAGGGATTTTAAAAGCATATGTTGGTATTTTGTGCCCTGCTTAAACAAAATATCATTCGAGTTGGTTGTCAAATCATATTTTTTCTCGAATTGAAAGCTTCTTGCTGCGTGAATTACAATGTACTTAGCCAGCTTCTTTGATCTTTCCTATCGTTAGATTTACTGCTTGCAATCTGAAGACAAGTACTGTTTGGAAGCAACGCGAAGCGCTGGAGGTGTTTCAAAACGAAGAGTGTACACCCTGTCTATGAAAGGGCGGCGAGGTAACACATCCACATTGCCAACAGAGCTAGGTCACTCAGACGGACAGAACTTAAAAATAAGTGAAAGGAAGCATAGTAGAGGATGTAACTTTCGTAGTACCTAGAATCGAAGCAAAGAATTTAGCGGCTTTCCTTCCTCGCCTTTTGCCTGATACTGTTGTCTTCCTTGCCGAATAGCATTATTTAATTGTCACATAACACCATAAATTACAAGCTAACGCGCGCTATCGAAAAACAAAACAAGAAAGACTAACGTTTAGGAACACATACGCACACTGAAAAATAAAATCTTCAAGTCGTCGCATCAATCACCAAATCGGAACCGAAAGACATTCGTGTAGAACAATGTACGTTTGTTGAGCAACACGATGTTTTCCGTACCCTCTACGTCTCATTGAACCTGGTGAGATCGCGGCCCCACAATCGGCTCTTGACCCAATCGAAGAAGACTAGAGCCCGATTGCGCAGGCTCACTTGCTTGGACAAGTAGACCGACCGCCATAACAAAAATCCGGCTTCTCCGCTTGACTTGATCGCTCTCTTGTCGACCGCAATCTGAGCCAAGGCGCTATCTCCACCTGTATACGCTAGGGTACCCAGATTTAAGAATTGAAAGCCCTTCGCATAAATTTTCCCGTTCTCCCTCTTCTCTCCCACGGAAAGAAGCTCGCCAGGCGTCGTGATCGGGCCTGTTCGCTCTGGAATGGATCGCGTGAAATCAATATTCTTGCTTAGGAGGCGACCAAGGAAGAAGCCCTGCTGCGAAGCCGCCTGGGCATTGGCCGGCAGGGGCTTGTCGTTGATCACACAGCAATCCCCGATCGCCAGCACCCCCTCTGCGCCTTTGACTCGCAGCCACTCATCCGTCACCAGTCGGCCGCGCCCAAAAGCTTGCTTTTCCTCCTGCTCCGGCAATTGCTTGATCAGGTTCGAGACCAGCGGCAGGGGCCCGTTCCCCGCCGCCCACACGGCCAGGCCGTAGGGGAGACTCCTCCCGTCCGACAGGACG